ATTAAAGTTGACTGTCACATCAGCTAAAGTTAACGAAGACTAACGGAGAGTGATCAAACTTGAACTGTTGAACTAATTTAAGTGACTACGGATGGAATAAAGCAATTCTAGTGGCTAACGTGAATTTTACTAGTAATTCAAGTGACCAAATTTGCAATTTAGCCTATAAAAAATGAGTTGATTTGGTACAGATGATTGTACAAACAAAAACACAATATCGATTATCTCATTGATTGCTTTTCATAAATTCACAGTTTACACCTTCAATGTTGGTGTTCTCGCACTTTTTCCCTGTTTCATCCTCCATTAATATATGGTAGAGTTTTGTGTACTTTTCTCCATTTCAAATTTTCTGCAACGAGAGTGAAAGTAGGAAGGTCATTTTTGTCTTTACACATTTATTATTTATTTCATTTAAAAATATCAATATCAAGATTTGAACCCGGGTCTGTTCAAACAAAGATAACAATTACAACCAGTTACACTAAACAAATTTATTGCATCCTTCTTGATACAAAACATAGACAAAGTTAATCTCTGAAAATCAGAGGACTTTTTCATCATAATTAGCAAGCTCACTAAGTCTACCGTATGTATTTTTATCGAGCTTGATACTTCTATTTTCATAGTAGAGTTTCATGTAATTTTCTCAATTTTAAATTCCCGCTCTCTCCTTAATTTTTGCTAAAGGTAAATGGGTAATTAGCTAACATGGAAGAAACTAATTATGTAACTACATGTTGTATCCTTGCATTTTTCAATTTAAATTTAAATTTTGTGATTTTTTATCTTTGTTCTTTTCTCTTTCTAACTTCCTCCGAAATTTCATCATTCGTGCAATAGTTGGCGCCTTTCACTTCCCAGTACAAGATTGTCATTGAAAAATCAATCTTCAGGTATCTCTTGGCACTACGGTTTTATTGTTGGGGATTTTAAGCTGGGCGAGTAGAAGATTTTAACTCTGATATCAATCCATGGCGAATAGAATGGAGTTCATCAATAACTGGAGTTGTAGAAGGAGGATTAGAAATTAAATTTTTGGTTGAATATATGCCTCTTGAGATAGAAATTTGGTTGTACAACGGAGAGTGGTGACTATTGGGTCTTTAGGTTTATGGTTTTTGCAACTGTCACAACCTATTTCTATCTTAAAACGAGGAATCATTGATTGATTGTTTGAAATATGTCGCTTCTTTATTCAACCTACTGGAACTAATAGATAAGGAGTGTCTAATTTTGCGCCTTATTAGTTTGATCGAGTCTATTCGTATATTAAAGATAACCCTGATTTTTTCGTTTGCTCTCAAGTTGTGATGGTCCCTTCTTGGCTGAGTTTTTAGTATATAGATGACTTGAATCAACAACTCTTCATTTCTTTTTGATTAGTGACATATTGTTTCTAAAAGGAGAGCATTGAACCCTTTATATAGGATTGTAATGTTTAAGATTTAGTTTCAAACTATCTAAGGGTCGTGTGAGAATTTCAGTGAGCTTTTATAATCTATATTTCTTTGACTGTAAAAAAAAACTAACCAATAGCATTTTAACATGGACTTAATTAGCATTATGAAAATGGGGTCAATGATACATTTTTATATTTTATATTCTTAAATGATTATGATATTTCTCCGAATGTTCGACCTATATATTATTTCTTTATGTATCATCTCGATCGAATGATTATCAATAAGATTAAACGGGTTAATAGACTTAAAAGTAACATAAAAATAAAAATAATCAAATATGAGCATTCCGGCCAAAGGGCCGGGTTATAAGCTAGTAATAATAAAAAAGGAAACCTTGCTTTAAAATCAGTACTCATTTTCTTTTAGCTAGCTACTAATAGTATCACGGGTTTAATTTAGACCCAAACTATATAATTGGATGCATCTCTACTCCAAAAAATGATGTTAACCATATCTGATTTGAGCCATAACAAAATGAATTTCCTTCTTATATTTTTTATCATCCCTAATTATTGCGAAGTTGGTCTATAAACCATCATTCAAAAATAAAAACTAAAACCATTATTGGCTTCACATTGAACATGATGGTTTCAGATCATATTTTTCAATTTCATCAACAAAGCTATGAAATTGAAAACGAAGAAGGAAAATCACGTTGAAAAAAAATACAAATACGCAAAAAAAAATTAAAATATCATTTTTAGCATGTTTTTTTTTTCCAAAACGACAATAACATTTTAAACTAACTATGTGTCATGTCAATTATATTTATGTACAATCCAAATACCACACCATGAATGCAAAGAAAATGACTCTTACATAATAGTGACCGTCAAACTCATTAGTAAGAGACCTTTTGAAAAAGATATTTAAAAGTAAATCTACATAAACATGATCCAAAACAAACAATATCATACTAATTAAGTGTTGCAACTCAACACCTATATTTTGTATGGACAATTAAACATAATAGATGACCCGCTAAAGCCAATCCTTGAAAGAGTCGGTCCCTTTCAAGTTGGCCGGCAACTGTGCATATAGCTACGTAAAAGTTGACCAGCTATCTAGTGGGTGTGGCGCGCGACGAAATTGGTACAAATGATCTTATTATGTATACGTCTTTCTCTTATTATTAATGTCACAAAAATGGTTAATAATGGAGTTGTCGTTGTCTACAAGCTCGATCATGGATTTTTTCTTAAAGAACACATAGTGATTTAAGTCAACAAATGCGATTTATTAAATGAAACCATAAATAGTGTGATTGGATCCTAAGAACTATATATTGATCATTAACAGCTTATAAATTAACCATTCGTTCATACTTGTAGCCGTTGGTCCCAACCCTAAGAATAAGTCCACCCCTCAACGAGCCGTGTTTGTGAAACCGTATCATATTGGCAATCCGAAGAACGCAGGTACTTAGTGATGATCGTTGAGTTGGAATTGAGTACTGCTGCACAACTGTCTGTCTGCATGCATATGCATGTAGCTAGCTAGCATTATGGCAAGAACAATAATAATAACATTTTGTGTACAGAAGAAAACAGAAGCTGCAGTGCAAGCAGCTCCCCGCCGATCACTGCTTCATTGTTTTATTACTGTTGTTCATAAATGCATGCTAATATATACAGTTGACGGACGCCAGCTCCGGTGCTGGGCCCGGCACCTGCCAAATTGAACCCAGCTTCCGGTCAAACCAATTTATTAACCGTCGAAGTAAAATCGAAAAGAATTAAACCAAAGCTAGCCAGCTGCCGTGGACCGTATTTGAGTCCAGTTCAGGTAATATGGTTCGTCAGTTCTCTGTTTGTTTGTAGTTAATTATGTAAAAAAGAAAATCAATTAAGGGGGGTGGGTGGCGTTTAGGACTAAGGTGCTAGTTCTGGAATAGATAAATATATTTCCCGTGATCCCAAAAACCATGCTGTTATTCATTAAAAAAAAAGATAATGTATTTATCAAAATCATGCAATATATTTATCAATATTCAATACCATACTTTCTTCTTGTACCTTTAATGTCTCTTAGATTAGATATTTATCAAAACCGTGTCATATACTAATACAATACCGTAATCTCTTTTGTATACATTATCTATGTCCACAAAACTCTCTTCCTTCTATCATGCACAACACATGTAGGCCATCAAAGACACCTCTCTTCGCAATTGTTAGATGGTGTCATTGTATCCAACGATCATCACATCTATCCGATGAATGCGTACATCCTTTAGTCTGATGATCTACACACTTTTGTACAAGTAGCTAGTGATGGCAATATTCAAGCCCTGCCCCATGCTATTGCAGGTCGGGGCGGGCGGGGTGGGGCTACCCACTCTTAATTACATGTTGTTTAAAAAAAAATACACTCAAAAGTTAACTTTTACAATGAAATGAAGGAAAAAAACATTTTATAAATGAAAAATACTGATAATAGAATTGGTACTTGAGTCTAACTAGTTGAAAGATCGACTCCGACTAATTGAACAAAAGTCAAAATATGAGAAATATGAATAGATACTTTAAGAAATTGAAATAAATAGAGCCAAAAATGAGGCGGTGCAGGTCGAAATCAAGTAGATATCCATTGTCCGACCCCATGCTACTACGAGTCGGGTACTACTTACCTCATGGCGGATCAAGTCGGATATATAATACTAGTCGAGCGGGTTCAAATTGCCATCACTGTTGACAAGAGGTTGTGGAGGCAATTCTAATCTCCAACGGAAAGGATAGCAGGCAAAAAAAGGCAAGTGGAGACATGCATTTTTGTAATACAAATTGGGTAAGATGTTAGTTGTCCTTTCCAGATATTATCACAGGGTCTGATGCTCTATAGAGGTACTGAAAGAGCCACAAAAAAAAGGCCATATGATATCATACCAGCTAGTTATTATTATTAAGAAAATTAAACGAATTAGGAGCCAACCATGGAGGGCCCCCATATTTCATCATCTCATCTCTTAAAACTAATACACGAACAAACAGTCCTCTCTCCTACTCTCTCTCTCTCTCTCTCTCTCTCTCTCTCTCTCTCTACTGTATATATTATGGTAACAAAGGTTCCCTGTTCTGCCCGATTATAATAAGCAATTAAGTGACGCCTGGAAGAAAGAAAGAAACATCAGCCGATCCCTAATTCCGGCCAATCGCCAGGCAGGTGCTCCCAATTTTCCTTTTTCTATGGTTTAATTCTTCTTAATTATAACATTTAATAAATTTATGATAAGTCATCGTCAAGTGGAGCGGAAGGCGGAGGTCATGTCATCGATCGGCAGCCAACGGCTTGCTTGAATCCTTCCTCTGCATGCAATTTGGTTTCGGCCTTCCACGTGGTGCTCATTTCTGCATCATCTTCCATCATCATCACCTCACTGCAAAACAAATATATAAATATAAATACACCACTTCATCCAATTGTCACAACCTTCACTACTAGCTAGATCTCTCTCTGCAGCTAGCTAGAAGTCGTATAACTCCGACCATAATTGTATTCAGTACTGCAACTGATCTGTTTTCTTTGGTTTTTGTTATGATGATGGCGCGAGCAGAAGATGATAATAATAAGGGGACGGTGGTGATCGACTTAGGGAGCTTCGATCTCGATACGGCGGCCGCCGAGTACTACGGACAAGAAGAAAGCAAGATCGGCATGACGACCGGTGATCGACAACAAGACGATCACAGCTGCTCCCAGTTGTCTTTGTCGGCCAGGGAGATGGAAGCCCTCACGGCTCTCTGCGACACCTTCTTGCCCTCCATCCAGACCACGACGGCGACCGATCCCTCCGCCGTCGCCGCGTTCTACCAAACGTCGGCTTCCGTGGCGGGGACTCCTCAACGGGTAATTAACTTAATTCGGATTATTATTATTATTATTCTATTAGTATTTTGGACCCACCCCCACGCGCTCATGCACCGCATTCGTCACTTGTACTCACGCTCCTTTCGTGTTCTATGTATTTGCCGGCTGGTATTTTATTCATTTGTTTAAACTCCTATTATAGAGATACGTATATTTAGTGATTGATTTGATTTTGATTATTATACAGATAACGCATTTTAAATCTTATCCTAGTACTCCATCTTAATCAGAAAAGAAAGGACTAGAAAAAGGAAGAAAATAATAGAGTTAAATATTGTTTCTTTGATTTAGTCGACATGCAGCGTGCCGTGAAATCTGTTTTTTAAAAAAATGCCTTTCAAAAAAATACCTCGACTTAGAAATTAGCATGATATGTATTCATTTATTTACCTATGAAATCCCTATTATAGTATCATATATATCACGGATTTTAAACGTTATCAAGGTGGTAATTGTTTTTTCGAGTTGGCGAAGAGCAAACTAGGAAATTCTAATAGCTAGATAAATAGGTGATGTATAACGGATTTTGTAATGAAATTTTGAATTATTTTCAAAGTATAAATAATAAGTAGTGATATGGTAAAACAACGTTACACATTAATATTAATTTGAATTCGGTTATGATTTATGAATGGAAAAACTCTTGGTGTAACCAAATGCTTGCATTATTGGCTTGGATATCTAGCAATCCACATCGCTAAATGCTCGATCCCAACGACAAAACAAATACATAGTGGCATAACCACATGCTTACACCTCAAAATTTAATAAAATTAGTTTCTTGTCGTGTATATATTCCTTAGCATTTATGTGCTTAATTGCTGTCTCTCTCAGGCAGTTGCAAACGTTAATGTTTTGGCTACGGAATGGAATGGAACATCTCTTTTGCACTTTCCTTCCTAGTATGTACAAGAAGGTGTTGTGGGCCTTGTGGCTCTATCAAATACCCTTTTTAAGTCAACCCAGAAATGGATCTATCCATCTTTGGGCCCCCTTTCAATTTGGGCCGTGTGACACCTCACAGAATATTGCAAAAATGGTATCTCCTGCGGATTAAGATTCGTCCCCCCACTTTACTTCCCTTCCTTCCACACCATTTTTCCATATTTCCCCCATTTCCTTAATTAGTTCACATTTCTCGGCCCTTATTAAAACCTTTATATATGAAGTAATAATTAAATACTGGTTCAGGGACGGTGGGCTCCAAACTAGCAAGTAACCACCGAAAAAAGCCCATAAAAAAGTACCCTGGGCCCGCACAGAAACGAACACACAGTCATTTTCCAGCCTCCGTCCCAAAACTGACTAGGACTTCACATATTGGCCCCACCAACTTTTTTTTTTTTAATGACAGGTGATTTGAACACGAGACTTCGAGTGAATTCAATACGTTAATCAATCTTAGGAACAAAATCAATCGATAATATGTTTCTGTGACCATTTGACTGACCAAAATTTTTCTAGCTTAGGCTGACTGGATTCCTGTTTGCATTGCAGGTAGGAAGGATCATAAGCGAGAGACTGGAGCACCCAAAGGTTTGGCTCATAAGGCTTGCACTTTGGCTGCTCTCCACATGGATTGGGACCTTCATCTTCTGCGGGAGGGAGAGCATTTGTGGTCGTTTCCCATTCTTCCTCAGTTTCTCTCAAATCCCTCTGAAGAAGAGGGAACGAATCCTCGTCTCCTGGTCGCAGAGCTACTTCTTCCTGCTCAGGATGCTCTTCAAGTCCTTGAAACTCATCATCCCACTTGTCTTCTTCTCCCAGGTATATCAGCTTCGTTAACTGTCTCAATTGCTGTCGACTGATCGCGACCCAACAGAAAGTAGGTATAGCTTGTCATTGTCAATCCAGTTGTATGGCTCCACAGTGATGGTAATGGTAGGTAGGCCTGAAATTTTACAACAATGAATCATGAGATCCAACAGTGTCTCGTGCATGGACTAATATCCTCCAATGCCTATTTGAGACTAGGTCAACTACTGCACGGGAGCATCTCATTACTGTTGTAGAGGATTAGGGACCAGAAGAATCATATGGTTCAGCTGTAGCTTCAACATATCAGGTCTTCTTATCGCACGTTATAAGCTCAACTAACAGCCTATTCCTCCACGCAACCCATAAAAGGAAAGCATAATCGATATACAATTTCTATTATTCTAGATTGGAGTCATTGGACTATTACTTCTGTAGCTACGCAGTGAGAATATCAATGATGGTGTAGTTCTAGCAAACATATTTTCTTTTCCTAACGTTTGCATCAAGGATTAACTGTTCAGAGATGTAGACTGTGAATAGTTATCTACCAAGTCCTGAATTTCATCTCTGTAATACATGTACCAGGTTGATGAGAAGAATGAGAACCTGACATGGAAAGCAATTGGGTATCCTGGACCAGACCCCGCAGCTGCTGATGCTGATAATTCCGCCACCAAAGAAGACATTTATGGACCACTCTGCAGAGGTCTCATTAACATGAACCTTCCAAAGAACATAGCTGTAGACTGCCTACATAGATCAGGATTTCCAGCCAACATCGGTCGCGCCACAGGAACAATCAACATCAAATGTGATGCTGTAGTAGTTGGCTCTGGCTCTGGAGGTGGTGTAATCTCCGGGGTACTAGCCAAAGCCGGGTACAAAGTGCTTGTCCTGGAGAAAGGAGGCTACTTGGCCAGAAGTAACCTTTCACTTCTGGAAGGCCCTTCCATGGACCAAATGTACCTCTCGGGAGGTCTCATGGCCACCGACGACATGAGCTTTGTGGTCCTCGCTGGCTCCACAGTGGGAGGTGGATCCACAATCAACTGGTCTGCCTCGCTTGAAACCCCACAGAATGTGACCAAAGAGTGGAGCGACGAACATCAACTGGAGCTCTTTGAGAGCAAGATGTACAGGGAAGCAATGCAGGTTGTTTGCGAGAGGATGGGAGTTCAGTCCCAGATACACGGTGGGGAAGGACTCAATAATTCCGTGCTGAGAAAAGGGTGCGAGAAATTGGGGTATCCAGTGAACGACATTCCAAGGAATTCCGACCCAAATCACTACTGCGGCTGGTGCAACTTTGGGTGTAAGAATGGGTTGAAGAAAGGCACTTCTGAGACATGGCTGGTGGACTTAGTGGATTCAGGTAATGGCGTGATTCTCCCGGGCTGCAATGCAATCCAAGTTCTGCACGAGGGGAAGAAAGGGAAATCATCAACAAATCGAGAATCAGCAACTGGGGTTGTGTTCGAATTCGAATCATTCAGTGGAGGATCGAGGACGAAAGTTACCTGCAAGGTCGAATCCAAAGTCACAATAGTCGCTTGCGGAGCTCTCAGCACTCCGCCATTGCTGCGGAGAAGCGGCCTGAAGAATCCCCACATCGGGAAGAATCTCCACCTCCACCCGGTCACAATGGCGTGGGGATACTTCCCGGAAGACGAAGAATCGAAGCAGAAGAGCTACGAGGGAGGGATAATGACGGCGATGTCGAGGGTAATTGCCGACGAATCGACAAATGGGTCCTATGGGGCAGTTATTCAAACACCTTCTCTGCATCCCGGAATGTTCTCGGGTTTAATGCCGTGGGTCTCCGGATCCGACATGAAACGGAGGATGGTTAGGTTTTCGCGAACGGCCCACATATTCACACTGGCCAGGGATAAGGGGTCCGGTACCGTCGGCGATTCTCACAGTAGAATCAGCTACAGGGTGGAAGATTCCGACGAGAGGAATCTGCAGAAGGGTGTGGAGAAGATGCTTAGGATTCTGGCAGCGGCCGGAGCAGAAGAGATTGGAACTCATAATCTGGGCGGGAAGAGCATAAACGTGAAGGAAGCCAGTTGCGACGAGTTCGAGAGTTTTGTGAAGGAGGAGAGCCGGCTTCCGATGAGAGGACTGGCGACGCAGCTGTGCTCGGCGCATCAGATGGGGAGCTGCCGGATGGGGGCGGATCCGGCGGTGTCGGCGGTGAAGGAGACTGGGGAAACGTGGGAGGTGGAAGGGCTTTACGTGGCGGATTCGAGCGTATTCCCGACGGCGCTTGGGGTGAATCCCATGGTGACGGTCCAGGCGATCGCTTATTGCACGGCGCAGTCGGTTCTTGATCGTCTCAAGCGGAAGAAATTTTCTTGAAAACTCGGGAATTTGAGTTCCGATTTTCCTCAACCTGGTTTGCTCCCTGTAAACAGGCTTATAATTCAGTCCATGTCATTTCTCAACCAAAAAAAAAAAAAAACAGTCACAGGTCATTGTATTTTGCCTTGAAATGGGCTTTTAGGCCCATTGAAATAAATATATGCGGCCAGTTCAATTTAGTGGGCTAATGAAGTGGTAGCCGGCTAGTTGCTTCTTCAATGCCTACGCCAGGCTCAGATCGGTAGGGTTAATGGTTTGGTTTTTGATTGGATTTGACTGTGCAATGCATTCTTTTTCTTCTTCTGTATCTTTATTCTTTAGCTTAACAATTACAGTAGGATTTGTCTGCAATTAAGCATATCTACAGCATCACATATTTAATCAAATTATTATGCAATTAAGCATTCAGACCTGATGGTTAGCCATCTCCAACCTCTGTGTCAAAATCTCTAAAAGAAGGATCTCCAAAAAATCTCGAAATATTCTTTTTAATTAATTATTATCAAATTTTGTAAAAAAGAGATCTAAATTGAGAAATTTGGCTCTCTGACCTTCTCCATTGAAGCAAAACCACTTTTTAGTGGACCTAAAATATTAAATTTTACACTAAAAAAAACAACACTATAGCATTTTGCATTAGAGATGGTCTTATCTAATCTATACTAGCTCACTTATACACTTGTGGTCCAACTCTCTTAGCATAATGGCCAGTTGTAATGCCAAAGTTGGCTATGCAACTTGTAAACCAGTGCCCAACTGTCAGAAAAGAAGAGGGGGAAAAGCCCACATGCCCACGTTGACCCATGAATGATAGAATAAGGTGGTTCCTTCCCTGTTGGGTTGGGCACATCGGCCCAAATCCCCCCAACTCCTCACTCCCTTGACCCTTCCCCCAATTGGTTCATCTTTTTCATTGACGGCCCTTCAGATACTAAAACTTAACAAAAATGAAACATAAGGGTAAGAGCAACAACATAAAATCCCAAAACCAGCAGGCACAGCACAGCACAGGGCTACCACAATTTGTCTCATTGTTAGTATTGTTATTATATAATAATTATTAGTAATTCAAGAAGAACTACCACTTTGGATCAAGACACAAAGAGGGAGATTAGAATAATATATAGTCTACTCTTCTTCTTGGGTGGTGGTATCTATTATCTTTCTCTCTCTCTTTGTGGAAGATGAAAGGCCCAAAGCAAAGCAACAGATTAGAAATGCAAGTGGTGTGGGGAATTAGAACACTGGAATTTGGGAAAAGGGGGATTCCTGAACCAGAAGAAGAGAATTTTCAATTTTGAGGGCAGAGGAAGAAGAAAACCACCTTCTTAATCCCTCTACTAATCCTAAAACTATACTAGTATACTCACTGCTAATGTTCTTCCTTTCCTTCACACACATATTCCTTGAGTCAACTCCACGCCTCCTTTCCGCTCTTTTCCCTTCATTATTATCTTCTTTTTTTTCTTTTTCTTTTTAATCCCTCCCCTTAATTACACTTTCTCACATTTCTTTTCCTCTGGCTACCTTCCTTTTCCCTTCCTCCCTCCCATGGAGAAGCAGAGACCTGGGTTGCTCTTCATCTTCGCCGTCGTCATCTCCCTAGCCGTTCTCTCCTTCGTCTCCTGCGTCATCGCCGAGATCAAGAAAATCAAGGTACTACCAACATTTCTAATTGAACCTTGCCTCATGTCCCTCGAATTCCCGAATCTGATTCTTCTTTTTGGGTTTTGGCAGAAGAAGGATGTGAAATTGCAGGATGATATGTGCTATCTGCCAGAGAGCCATGCGTTTGGCTTCGGAATCGCGGCAATCGCATCCCTAGTTATCGCCCACGCATTGACCAACTTGTTCATTTGCGGCAACTTCTTGTCCTCTTTCTGCTCTTCTGCCAGAAAGAAGCCGGTCACCCCTCCTCTGCCTCCTTCCGCTTCTATTTCTTCTTCAACTTCGTCTTCTTCCTCTGCCTCCAAGAAACCCTCCATCCCCGCCCTCCTCCTCCTGCTCTTCTCCTGGTAATTCTCTTTGGATTGGAACAATCAGTTGGGCTTCACTATTTTTATCGTACGCACGCGATGCTCTGTTTTCTTCTTTCTCTCCCGGTGGCTGAAACAATCTTCAATTAAAAACCCCATGAAATGGACGGGAGAAATTAATTGAGAATTCTGTTTCAACTCACTTGCAAGCAATTCACACGCCCTGACATTTGCCAGCTCAACCAACCCTTTCCCTTCCATTGCATTTCCATAAAGTTTCATCCTTTTTATTTTCTTCTCAATTTGGGTCAGTCGACAGTCGCCATTAATGATCTCTGTCTGTAGATTGAGGCGACCCTTGATTCTTGCCTTTGCGTCAGGAACTTTTCGATTCCCATGATTTTAATTTGGGGCAAAAAGTAGGTAGCGTACTTAATTATCAATTTCCTTCTAATTAAGTCGTCTCTGTTTTTTGTTTCTTTTCTGGGGAGGTGCACTTAGGGCGAGTTTTGGGCTAGCGGTGGTGCTATTAGGGGGAGCAACGAGCATGAGCGCAACGCAGCCGTTTGGGAAAGGGTGGCTCGACGGAAAGTGCTACGTCGTGAAAGACGGCATCTACGCCGGCTCAGGGGTTCTGACGCTGGTTTCAACCGCCGCCGTCCTTGGCTCCGCCGTCGTCACCTTCAGAAAAGCCCAGGCTGAGCAGGGTCGCAGAGTACATGCCCAAGCTGTCGTCGGCTCGTAAATCTTTCTTTTTCTATTTTTTTTTTGTCGGAAAGCAAAATTACAGGCTAGATACAAAGTGAGAAATAGAAAAACAAACTTATACACAGGTAGAAAGTTACAAAGATGAATGAGAAGGAACTGGAAAAAAATGCTGCAACTTTCGGTGTCACGATCACAGTTGATCTTTCCTTCTTCAAGAGAGGGGAAAGGTTAATTTGTTCTTCCCTACCTGTGGCTGTGGGTCATACTCATCCACTCACCACCCTTTTCTCCGCTGAATTAGATAGAACAGCAGAGAGGGAATGGGTTGAGCCTAACATTGTTTATTCCAAGTTTGGTGAGATGGATAAGGAGACAAGTAAGGGGTGTTGTGATGGGAGCAAACAAGAAACAGCCAATCTTTAAGGTCCCTTTCAAAAGACACTTCATGGATAGGGATGTGATGTGAAACGCAGAATGAAAGCAGAGCAGAGTCCACGAACAACAGATGTGCTAAACAATTCAGAAACCTCTTTCGTCCTGTAGCTTTAAGATTTGTTTAACTACGATTACGGGGAAAGGCAGGTGATGGCAAATAGTTTGATGAATCCCATATATTGAAACTTGCAAACTGGTACAAAGATAAAGCACGTTGTTTGCATCCATTTTGATTTGTAGGAGTTGGAAATCAAATTCACCAACTCTACAATTGGCGTGTAATGAGTTTTCCCCCGTAGATAATGGTCCAAAAATAGATAGTTACATCACAACATTCAACCAAAAAATAGAGTTGATAATTAACTTTTGATGAAAGACTGTTTTGAGCCACTAAATAGTCAATCCTCTTGTACATGCGGGGAGTAAATGTATAGTCAAAGAAAGAAGATGCAATACTTATAGTCAGATTTCCTCCATAAACACTCCACCTGATCCATGACCATGAGCTACTTTTATACGTGGTCATCGTGCCGTGCCGCCCACGGGCTAGCACGACACGGCACGATTAGAGCATGACGTGAGCACGGACACGAAATAAATGGGTCAGTCCAGCACGAGCACGAATAATTATGGGCCGTGTCGGACCTAAACTTCATGGCACGGGCACTGGCACTGGCACGACACAATATATAAGTGGACCGTGTCGTGCTAATGTTGTTAAACCGTATAATCCAACCAATAGTATAACCACTCCATGTAAACATCAACAATTTCTCCACAAATGATTATTTTTACTCATATCAACTCATATTTACAAGGTAAGCCAAGCCCAGCTAAGGCACTGTATCCACGAAATCAACTAAATGCCAACATCCTTAAACGTAGAGCTCACACGCAGGACAAAGAACAGATGAATATAGTGAATCCACAAAAACCACATTTTACACTTACCAATTTGTAAACCAGATTAATCATCTCACTCAAATCTTCTGCAAATCTCTAATTGCGCCATTCCACGGCAGTAACCAACCAACCAATCCAACTCAGTGATACCCCAACGGCGCCGGAGTATCCCTCAGCTCATGCCCCTGGTAGTGTATGTCCGAAGCAAGGTGATTGACATCCCTGTGATGGGCCTCATCAGCTCTCACCACCTCCACCACATCCTTCAGAGTAGCATCCGCCGGGAGCCGCCAGTAGTCAATGGCGATGGCAGGAGCAGGAACATTCTCAATGTTGCCCTTGTCCAGCTCCTTGAGGAACTCCGTGTAGGAGTGAATGGCCTCCTCTTCCAAGTAACCCACCATCCTGTGCGCGAACTTGGGGGAGATGACGTATCCCAGGAAGTAGGCATTGAAGAAGACGCCCTGCACCGCAATCACCAACGCTCTCTCGTACCATTTCGGCTGCGCCACTTCCATGAACGTCATGAGATGCATCCGCTCGTTCTCTGCCTCCTCGAGCAGGGTTCGGATCCATCCGCCGCTGTGCTCGAATCTCCTTAGTGACTTGCAGTGGAGCAGCATCCCTCCCACCATCCCTGGCACCGCCGCCACCGTTTCCAGCATCATTGCCCGGCACCCATATCTCCTCTGTTATTACAAACATATTGGGGGAGCGTCAATTTCATGTTCATCATCCTAGACAGCCTAACCATAAATCTAATTCCCCCAAAATTCTGGAGGCCTAGAGATCTTGATTGATCATGATTGAAATTGTAGAGTTAGGAGGTCGGATTCATGTTCATGACTAAATCAATTGCCTACAACAGATGAATGATTCGCCAACATTCTCAGGAATCAATCAAGATGGGAGCCGAAAAGGGTACCTGGAAGAACAAATCGGTTGGCCAGCGGAGAGACTTGACAGTCCAGTAGGCGATTTTGTCAATCATGGTGGATGGCTTGTGATGCTTCTTCAGATCTATCGATGTGTCTGCTTTGTACGTCTCCCATGGCTTTTCCCCCAAATAAAACCGAAGATTACTTTAGAAATCAATCAGAGATCAAGAGAAAGAGTTGAAGAAAACGGATCCGAGATTGCAATTGGAATTAATTGATTCGTACTACTACTCACCATGAAGGAATTCCACTTCCACTCTGTTCCATCCTCCTTTCGGATCCTGCGAGTCGGTATGTCCCAGTAACTAACAATCTCCTTGTCTTCGTTTCCGTCCCCGTTCATCCCGCCGCCGCCGCCGCCGGATGCCATCTGCGGCTGCTTCTTCTCTTCCCGCTGTTCCTGCTCCGCCAGCGTCATCGTTGCGAAGGTCCGGTCGCCGCTGGTAGCCGTCGCCATACCTCTAACCCAGACCCCGACCGCAATCGGAGCCTGGACCCCGCCGCTCGCGATACCGGCCGAGGCAGCTTGCCGAGCGACGGCGCCTGCTCCTCCGCCAGTCGCCGAAGAGAAATTGCGCAACGCCAGAGCAGCCACAGCCATCCTGGCGCCACCGCGGCCCATCGTAGACATCATCATCGCCGTTCAGATCACTGATCGAACACCAAAATCGAAAACCTTAGCAGTAATTCTAGAGAGAGAGAGAGAAATCGTTGGAGGAAGTTTCGAGAAATCTGGTGAGTTGTGAAAGAATCAAGAAGAGTGGTTTTGGTTTTTCTTGGAGATGAAGAGAGGTTTAAGGGAGGTTTAGGTATATATAGTGTACCCAGACAAACTGAGTAGGTCGAGTCGGGTCGGGTTAGATATCCGAATTGCTCGCGTTTTGTGAGAGTATTGATCTGTCGTTTCAGGGTTGATGGGAAATCGGGTTATGTAACTGGCAGGTTACAGGTCAGACGTGTGCTCCCCAAGCATATGATACGTGGCGAGATCTGTGTCGTTTAGTGAGAGAGAGGTAGAGACGTGTCCAAGCTTTTCTTCTTTTCGGGAACGTATTTAATTGGTTAAATGATATTTTTTCTTGGGCACCAAGACGAAACTTTTGGAATGTCCATCCTGGCAGGCAGCCACACTTTCCGCCCGGAGTTGCTGGAACTGAAAAATCAGGCAAGAAAAATGGACACCTTCCAAATTTCAGTTACGAACATTCGGAATTAATGCGGACGGCATACGGCGATAACACGCAATAAGGATTGTCACCGCTCACCAACACGATTACTAATGTTTTAGCCGTCGGGATTATAAAATACAAAATACGTTGAGATTAAAGGGATATTTTAGCAAGTGAAAAATGTAGTGTTTCAGTTTAACTTCAATTCAATTATCGAACGGTTCACTATAGTCGATGTTGTCATCACCATTGAAGATTTTCATTGCCATTGATGTTGTTTTTGGAGTCATCATCACAATCACACAATTCGAACAACATTAATTGGTAGAGATTTATACATTGTACTAGTGATTTTTATGATTCTTGGTGGTGCTTTGGCGAAATCTAATAGTGATTATATATGTGAACTCTTTAGTAGTTATTTTGAGGTTGTGGACGTGTGTAATAGTGGTTGACGCGCGATTGTTAGTGGTGATTTGACAATGTTCAATATCGAATAATAGCAAATCACTATGATAGGCTATATCTAGATATACATCAAGAAATCACTATTGTATATGGATAAATCATCACTAAGTTTGTATTAAATAAAAAAAAATTCAGATTTGGTTTTTTCTTAGCATACTCTATCATAACATTATTGCACCTTTTTACGCTTCATTTTCATTACCTTTGGGGGGAAAAGTCCACCAGTTGTTGAAGGAATGGTATATGCAATCTATTTCTTCTTATAATTCAAATTATTATAGTTGATTGTCGACATTGGGAAGTTTTGTATTCGAACTCGTATAATATATAAGATAGTCATTGACCGAAAAAGTTTGTATTAAACATTTTTACAATAAAATGTAAACACAACCCAGGACCATCGTGCACTAATGAGAGCGAACTAAACTAACAAGTCTGAAATTTGAACACACTCGCAACTCAAAAGTTGGAACGGAAAATGAGTACTCGATCGAACGTAGCATCGGTTGAGGACATGCATGTATTATGTATATTTTAACTGTAGCTACTGACTGATGTGACATGACGATCACCGGCTAGCTGCCGCCGCCACGCCGGGGGTAAGGTTTTCCGAGCACATGACTATAGCTATTAGTAACGTTGCCGAAATAGTAGGGGAATTCCTCGGGACTGGGACAGTGTCGCGGATGGCGTTTAGGGCAATGGAAGGCACAGTAGCCGGGACAACAATGTTCGCCGCCTCTTCCACAATACCCTCCCACACTGCAGCAACGCCTGCCGTTGCAGTACGGCCAGTCGCGGCTGCACGTGTGATCCAGTGCTTCTGGATGCGCTGCCGCCATCATTGTCGAGGAGAATACCATCATCGTCGTCGCCACGGCAATATGAATAATTACCTTCATCAGATCAGTCTCTTTCTGTATCTCTCTAATTCTTCTTCTTCTTCTTGGTGTTTATTTAGATTAAGGTATAGGCAGCTGATGAGCTTAGCCTGTTGAATTTATAATGGGCTTACGATTGTTTTCCTGCCGGAATACGGATAATATTCCATCGAGGTCGGTTTGGTTACTGGACTTTCTTTCTTTCTTTCTCCCGATTCACTTTAATACGTAACATTTTTTTGGCATCGTCTTCATGAATTGATGCCGGACGTACGACGCGGCACTAAGTATTCCCTTCGCGCTTCAAGTAGCCACAGAACCATGGTCCATGAAACCGTACCGGAGACCGTACCGGAAAAGTCAGTGATAGGGTATTTTATGACAAAACCGTAGTTCAACCGTTAGTACCGTTTAATTTCGCCTATCGGTTTACCCTCTGATACTGGTATTTTGTGATTGAACCGTCGGTACGATACGGTTTAATGGACCATGCACAGAAAAAAAAAAACTCATTCAATCAATAAATAATTAAATACATACAATATGAACAAATTAAAGAAAGTAGCTAATTAAGAAAAAGGTGGAATAGTTTGATAATTATTGACTGAATGCAAAGAACGGTATTAATTAGGGTATTGTCTCCAATCGCCGGCGCTTTGGAGATAGAGAGTATAAGACGTACGGCCGGCACGGCAACCCTCTTAAGTTTTTGTTCTTTTCCACCACAAATCAACTACGAGCATAATGCCGGAGCCCTTGGCCGGAGAATATTAGCAACGTCGATTCTTATGCACCTACGTTACGTACGTAGCACTAGTCTAGTCATGGGCATCATTTTAATATTTGTTATAGAGTGTTGTTATATATGAGCTGGACATACAATGGCCTTATACCTAATTAATAAAAAAAATTAATAATGCAAGAATTTATTTTGTCAGAATTAAATAATGTAAGTTAAAATAAATTAATCAATACGACGATGTTTTCTTATGTCATTAATAATGTGTATTCTGGAAACATTGTATAGTGCAATTTTTTTTTACTGAAGTAAAGTGCATTCATCAGTGCTAGCTTTAAGTTATTTGAACAATATTCCATCCATGTGGTGAAGCTTGCTCTCATCTAAGTTACCGTTAAAAAGAATTACTTTGGCGTTTGTTGTTGGAATATTAAACATAAAATATGAAGTGATTTTATTAGTATATATATGAAATCCTTAACAAAATTGTGGTCATTTGTATCGACTAATTTTGTGGGAACTGGTTTACACCCGAATTGAAAGATAGGGTAATTTTATTAAATTTCTAAAGCGTGGTTCGGTTTAGGGTTTAAAAAAACTTGGTGTGTTGTGTAAAGTCTTTTTTATTATTATGGGAAATACAATTGAAAGATCACATTCGATCTGCTATTGCTACTTTGACCCCTGACTTGGCCTGGTCGTATGTGTTTAATTCATTGCAGCTCGATAAATTTGAGATGGCGGAACTGCTATTCATTATATGGCGCATATGGAAGGCGCGATGCTGGTCGTGTTTTGATAGAATCCAGTACTTATCAGGTCCTCTCCATCGCCAATATCTGCAGCAAAGGGATGAATGGAATGCAGCTTCGGCCTCAAGGGTTGACAGATCTTTTTCTGTTGGAACTTCTAGTTTTACGGGATTCGATGGATTGGTGCTTAACTCCGGGGGTATTACTTCTATTTGCTTCTGTGGTGATTCCCAATTGGTGATCCGGCGAGTGACGGAGAATGACGTACAGCATAATCGTGGCGGAGCAATTCTTGAGGAAGTTCGGCTACTACAAGCTTCGTTCGCGTTTGTTCGTTTTGTTTTCTCTACTCGTAGAACTAACAGGGCTGCACATTGCGTGGCGAAAACGGCTCTTGCATCGGTGGATCAGCATTTGGCTGATTACCTTTATTTATTTTCCAACTTATTGTAATTCCCTATCTATTACATTACCTACCTCGGCAAAAAAAAAAAATACTCTGAATAGTTTGTTCACTAATATAGAAGGGAGTGAATTTTAATAAATGACTATCACGTGTATAAATTTAGGAATATATTCTTTTATGAATGAAAAATTGGTAAATGAATTCTTTTTACTTAGAGCTAGTTTTACATTTACTTAATCAATGCGTTTTAGGGTTGATCGTAGTTATGCTTAAATTTAAGGAAAATGTGGAAAAAGAAGTGAAAGCACACACCCATAACATTACAATATAAGTTTGGGGGAAAAGGGTGAAAAAACCACACACATTTAAATGTAAGTTTTGCAGGAATGAATCCAAATTTTGAAGAATTTGCTGCCGCGCATTTTCGTATTTTTCTGGATTGGATTAATGTCTAGGAAAAACAGGCAGGAGCAGGGTAGAAAATGACAAATGACAAAGTGGCGACCATAAATAAAGTTCTTCATAACACCATTTATATTTAAAAAAATTTAGTAATGAATTTGATTTCGTGCACACTCTCCCAAATAAAAAAAAAGAGATTTATCGATTATTGTCTTTGAATGTTGCACTTATATATCCATCATGATGTATATCTAACCTAATTGTCAAAATTCACAATTTGAATGATTCGAACACGCCATGATACTTTTCGATTGACGATACTTTGATATCACAGAAACGGAAGCTGGGTACTGCAGCCAGCAAACAAGCCGGAAATTCTCTTTTCCTTTTCAAAAAACAACAAAGTCCGAAAAGTTCCAATTAAACACACTCACAAGTTACAACATGGGATAGAATGTGAAATCAAAATTATAAGTAGCAGCTAGCTAGCTGAGAACCAACAAGTCATTGGGTTCTTATTTTATTATTTGTTTATCACACTCACCACAATATTTTTTTGTATAGCATAGCAAAGTAGACGTAGCAGAAACACACCGGCGGCGGGCTGGTGGGCATTTTCCGACGGAGGATACATCATCAGTTATGACCAGTAATATTGCTGAAATGCAAGTTAGTCGACGACAGAAACGCCTCGGGGCGGCAGTGTGGCGGAGGGCGGTCGGGGCAGTTGTACGCGCAGTAGTAGCGACAGCAGTACGGGGCGCCTTCTCCACAGTATCCTCCCTTGCTACAGCAACGGTCGCCGTCGCAGTACGGCCACGCGCTGCCGCACCGATGATCAGGTAACTCGTCATGTGCCGCCGCCGCCGCCGCTGTGCAGATAGTAACAACATCCCCACAACGATGGCCTTCTTCATCTCCATGTCTTTGCAGCCTTCTTTCTTTCTTTCTTTCTTTCTTCTTATGTTTGTTTGGATGAACATATACAGGTTTGTTTGTTGAATTTATAGGGCCACAGCTAGCCCACATGCAGCCCAGCCCAGCCCAGCCCACGGACGGTTGGGTCTCTTCTCTTGGAGGGCGATGGAATTTTCGGGTGTGGATGCCGTCGAGGTTTATGGAACAAGGAGGAAGAATATACCGTTGCTAGCTATTTAGGTGGAATACTAGTTTAAACTCTATGGAAGAACCATATATGCTGCATGAATCTTCGGCGTTATGATGCTGAATCAATTGGATCTTGGTGGGACTAATTAAAGGCCGATCGGATCAAAGGCCGATTTGTATTGTCAGGTTTTGGCATATATGTAGTGCGGCTTTTATGCTATTCCCGGTTAATTTAATTTTGGGTATATATGTTAGAATGGAGAGACTGTGTAGATTATGGATTGATAGAAACTAAGAATTAAGGGGAGATTTAGGGTTTGGAGAAAGAGGCTGGTGGTCTAGATAAAAAGGATAGAGAAAAATATTTATGTTGAATGTAATCTATTTTTTGTCTTAATTTTTGAAAGAAAAACAAATACATATTTATAAGAAATGATCCAAATCCTATTAACAAATCCAATTTACTCGGCTAACTATTAAACCCAATAATCGTAATATGGTACCGGTTACTATAACAACACTAGTCTGCAACCAATAGGAAGCTAGGATTGTGATGACTTTTTATTAGATGAGTTGACCTAGTGTAAAATCAAAGTAGGGGTATAATTGTCATTATGGAAAATCTGTTTAAATAATAAAAAAATAAAAAAATATTTTATTTTCTGCCCCAAAATTTGGTCGCCGGAATTCTGCCACCGGTCGCCGGAAAGTGGTCGCCGGTCACCGGAATATGCTTTTGTCGTCGGAATATGCTATTCTGTCGCCGGAATATGCTTACCGGTGTCGGAATATGCTTACCGGCGTCGGAATCTAGTCATCTGGGCCGGAATATGCCTATCGGCGTCGGAATCTGCTCACTGACGGTCATCGGAGTTCGGTCAACGGTCAACGAAGACCGGATGTATGGTCTACATTGTGAGATTTATGGTTTGGTTTCTCATATTTTCGTATGCCTTTTGTGGTTTGCTTTATCGTGTTTGTGGTTTGCATTAAGAAGTTTCTGGTTTGCTTTATCGTGTTTCTGGTTTGCATTGAGAAGTTTCTGGTTTGCTTTCAAAAACTTTGTGGTTTGCATTGTGCGGGTTCTGGTTTGTTTTAATATATTTGTGGTTTGCATTAGGACGTTTCCGGTTTGCTTTTTTGTGGTTTGATTTACTGTGTTTGTGGTTTGCATTAGGAGGTTTCTGGTGTGCTTTCGCAAATGTTGTGGTTTGCTTTGTGAGGTTTGTGGTCTGCATTAGGAGATTTGTGGTCTGCATTAGGAGGATTCTGGTTTGCTTTATTGTGTTTCTGGTGTGTTTTCGAATTTTTTGTGGTTTGCTTTGCGAGGTTTCTGGTGTGCTTTCGAAAATTTTGTGGTTTGCTTTGTGAGGTTTCTGGTTTGTTTTAATAGATTTTTGGTCTGCATTAGGACGTTTTTGGTTTGCATTAAGAAGTTTCTGGTGTGCTTTCGAAACTTTTGTGGTTTGCTTTGCGAGGGTTTTGGTTTGTTTTAATATATTTATGGTCTGCATTAGGACGTTTTTTGTTTGTTTTACCGTGTTTGTGGTTTGCATTAGGGGGTTTCTAGTGTGCTTTTCAAAATATTTATGGTTTGCTTTGTAAGGTTTCTAATATGTTTTAGCAAATTTGTGGTTTGCATTAGGAGATTTCCGGTATATTTTCTTGACACACCCTGCACGAAACAAACCAGACCAAAAGAGAAAGAACATCAGGTTCTCCTAGCACCGAAATGCAAACTCCCATTGTTCCACCCCCATCACTTGTGGACATACATGATAACAAAAAATGCTAAACAGAAAAGTAGTTGCATGACAAAATCAGGCATATATTTGAGGAATGCAAGTGAATTTCAGCAAGCGATAGCACAACTCTACATGCCTTCCCGCCCAAGATGTAGCCTACAACATAATGGAACTTTCACAAACTTAATAAACTAACTTGATCCACCGCCAAAACAACCGCATTCAGACTTCCGTATCCGACAAACTCATCTCGATTATCAAGGAAGCCAATCCGTTGGATCATCGGCAGAGAATCATGAGGGAATTGGTTACTCCTCTTCCTCCTACACTACTATTCTTCCTCTCTAACTAAATTAAAGGGAATGGTCTGGTCCTAAAGGCTAATTAAAGCAGCAGGACAGGCAAGGCAACGACTACACACCATATATACAGAGAGAGAGAGAGCTTCAAACCGACCAAATAAGAAAGAAAGCAGCAGAACAGAACAGAACAGAAGAGAACTAGAGAGAAGATCGAAATGGCATAATTGAGGGAGGAGACAAGAACCCAAGTCGGGCGCAAAGCCAAAATGCCTCTCTTCGCTCTTTTTTGACCGCACCGGCCGCTTTCAATTTCCCCATCTTCCCTCTTCTCCATCTCCAGCCACAAGATTGATGACTCCGCTATCAATCGAAAGATTTTTCTCTTTAGGATTCTTCCAACAAGAAAGAACTAATGCATCTCCAGCTTCTGCTCCATCGAATCTCTTATCGGATCCGCTACTTCCACGCCGCCGCAACCGCTCCCCTCTCGGAGACTTCCGTATCCAACGAACTCATCTCGATTATCGAGGAAGCCAATCCGTTGGAGGCGGACGCCATGGTCCCTTTCCTCTCCCCCGCTGCTGTCGCTTCCGTCATCCAACAGACGCCCAATCCGCAGCTGGCGCCGGCGTCGGAAGAAAGAAGAGACGAGAGGAGGACTGGCAACCCCGGCGGAGGAAGAAAGAAGGAACGGCGGGGGATGGAGGCCTCAATCGTAGCCGCCGGATACATCGCGGTTCTGATCTAGCTGTTTGCCTGAGATTAGAGGAAGGTCGACGCCTCTACCGTCAGAGTCGACAGCAGGGGTGTTCCTGCCGGTGATGGAGGCGAGCGTACCGGAGGAGATGCAGTCGTTGGGGGTATGGTATCGGAGGAGATCGAGAGAGACAGGTAGGGATTGAAAATTTTAGTTCTCAATTGTAATTTATTAATTTCTGTTAGTTTTCCCTTTTTACCCCTGATGTTACTATAACAACACTAGAGGTGTTGTTATTCTATCCGGACCCTCGTAATATTCCTTGGCCAACTCATAGTCGAGATCTCCCTACCCTAACCCATGATAATGGAAAAGGTAGCTAGGTTCCTATCAGGAATTAAACATAATTTTATGTATGCTATTATATAGATTAATTTTGAGGTTTGCTAATACCGTAAGATTATCTATGAATTAATCGAATTTTATGGTATGCTACTATACTCAAAATTATTAATTAATATTTAAATAATTGGGAGTAAATCCTAAGATCAATGTAAGTGGGGAAAACGGTAGGCTTATTTATTAAATTTTAAAACTCGTAGCATTTGATTAATTCCATGACATAAACAACAATTTCAACAACAATATATATTTTTACCCAAAACATTTGTTAGGCCAGGTGATCCCAAGCCCTTTTTTTTGTTTTGTTTTGGAATGCTTAAAACACTAGTAGTCATAAATGATTTTTATGCCAATGCATTTTTTTGTCCCTTGTTCATTTACTTCTAGCTGCAACTATATATAAAAGTAGAGGTGGGTTTTTTAGTAAAATAAAACATCATGGAAAAAAATTCTTATAATCCCTTCATCAACTTCACGTAATTCTCTAAATCTCTTATTAATTCATGGATGCCCAAATGTGTCATTTGGAATGACTCATTCCTCATTATTTTTTTCTTCCTTTTGACACAACATGTAAAAACATAATTTAAACATGACAAGCAATCTATTGCATCTACTGTTATGGTCAAAATTAGTCAATACGATATGAGGACACAAATACTGAAATACATCACTGATCAACTGATAATCACCGATCACCGGCACCGCCGCCGGGGTAGCGTTTTCCAGCGACACCATCATCGTGACTAGTTATATTGCTGAAATAATAGTTAGACGATGACGGAAGTGTTTCGGGGCTGGGGCAGTTGCGGCGAGGATGTTTAGGGCACTGGTATGCGCAAAAATGGACACAACAATGGCAGTCACTGCTCCCACAGTACCCTCCCTTGCTGCAGCACCGTCCGCCACCGCAATATGGCCACTGGCTGCCGCACTTATGATCGGCTGCTTCTGGATGCGCCGCCGCCGCCTCCGCGAATAGTACCAGCAACAGCGCCACAACAACTGCCTTGTTCTTATTGCAACTACTACTACTCTTCATCTCCATATCTATCTATCTATTTTTGTATCTTCTTCTCGTTTAATGTGATGAACAACCTCATTTGCTAGTTGACTTTATAGGCCACTAGAGCCCCACGATTCTTGGATGCCATCGATCGGCCAATGTAATATTATCTTCTACTTTTTGGCCTAGTGTCTTCATATATTCGGAAAATCGAGCGTGACACTAAGAAAGGTAACAAAATATAAAGTCCAGTACTTTCCTGCAAGTAACGGGAACAAGAAAAACTCCTTGAATAACAATGGGTATTAATATTATTATAGAAATAAAGAGCTATGTTGAGGGATTAGCTATGGTTGGAGGCAGTGTTTTGTTTGATGACGGATTGGAGATATTTGGAAGCTGTGGGCTAGGTTTGGATTGGGCCGTCTTTGTAAGTTTTTTCTTTTGGGCCTTACGTTTACTCGTGTTCTCTTATCTGTTAGCTGTGGGCTGGGTTAATGTATTTGTGGGATCTCTCCAATATTTTGGGCTGGGCTTTTTATTCAATTTTGGACTTGGTTCAACTCTGTGGGTCACATTTCTATTTCTAAGAGCATCCACATTGCAATTGCATTCTCAATTGCAAAATGACAAGTCATAGGTGGTTGTAATTGCAAAATCAGTTGTATTGATGTGGCTACCAATTGCATATTTGCAAGCTTGCAACAAATGCAATTCCATATGCAAGTCAAAAAAGCCTAAAAAAGGTGATTTTTTATTTTATATTATTTTCTTTTCTCTTTTACTTAATTTTCTATAATTTAAACATAATATTTAATTACATTTGCAATTACAAGTTAATTACATTGATGTAGGTGAATGAAATGAATGTAGGGATGGCAAAAATATCCATAACCGTGGATATCCGCCCGAACCCGACTTAATCGGGTAGGGTAAAATCCGAACCCGAAGGATATTTAGTGGGTACGGGTAAAACCCGAACCCGAATATTGCGGGTAATGGATGGGCATGGGTTTCTCAGTATCCAACCCGAACCCGCCCGATTATACACATACATATGTATTTTGTCTAGAAATAGTCATTATTTTTCTCTAACATATTTTATATTTAGCATATAAATATAATATTTTCATGCAATTGTGTTGTTTTAATTAATTTTCTTCATTCTAGTGAATTATTGTCATACTTTTCCTCTTGCGTAATGTGAGAATACGTGTGAATGTTAATAAATTAGTTGGAGTTATGAAGAGAAATCATTACCCATGGATAACCGTGGATACCCGAAACCCTAACGGGTATGGGCATGGTTTTAATTTTCTACCCGTTTCATATGTGGGTATGGGTATGAGTAAAACCCGAACTACTTTGGGTAGGGTAACGGATATGCACTATCCGTCCCCGACCCGACCCATTGCCATCCCTAAATGAATGTGACGTGGATTGCAAAAAAATTGAGTTGATAATAAAAAACATAAATATAATTTGTTTTGCAATTGCATTGATGGAGATGGTCTTAGGCATGGTAGAATCTCCAGCCGTTAACTCGCCGGTCCAGGGAAAATGGACACAAAGCAAGGAAAGTTGAAAATGGACAGTTTTTTTGTTTGGTGTCGCTTCTGAATTCAAGGAAGGCGGCCAAGATTCCATCCATTCCATGAATGCGGCTGTCAGCTGACATCTCGTCTCCTTTCCATCATCTCAATCATAGACGATTCCATCCCAATGAAGCAGAATACGACAAATCTATAAATAAAAAATACATAATAAAGAAACATATAATATCCATATAATTTTTCTCCCCATTTTCCTTTTTCTATCTGAAAGTAAGTTAATATATTTGCAATACTAACTTGTATATTTTGTAAATCATAATGTCTCTTTATTTCAAATCCCACAATTAAAATGTAATACAATTATATATAAAAAAAAATAAACACTAATTATTAGTCAAAATTTTCTCGCATTCTTTTTTTTCTCGGTTAAACCTATTGAGTTACTAATATTTTGCCATAGAGAATCAAAATCACTAACCTATCCTCAATAAAATTGGATTGTTTTATACTTTTAGATCTGTGTTATTAAAACATATATAGGGTTGAGATGGACCTTAATTGATTAAGGCTTAAAACCTCGGTTACCTGATCTAATGCATTCCTTCCCTTGCCTCGAATCACCGGAGCTTGATCCCGATTCCCAAGCTAGGCAGGCAACTGGGCAATTGACAATTGTGCATGTTGGTGGTGCTCCTTAAAAGACTTGTTTGTTACTAAGGAGGGTCAACTGAATTTTGATTCTAACCAACTAACAGACTGCGATTCTAATGGATTCCCGCAGATTCCCTTTTTTCTATATTTTTTTTTGGGTTCCCGGTTTCCGTGGAGTAAGTAAAGGAATCTGAAACTGAATTAGGCTCCCAAAAGTCAAATCTCATGAAATGAATCAAAGGACCCAAAAAAAACACAGCCAGTGGAAATTTGGGGTAATTAAAGATAATCTAGTCTAGGCCAGGAAGAACAACAAATTCTCTCTCTCAGACTCCGCCGTTGTGCTCAGGAGAAGCCAGCGAGCAGCATCCAATACAGCCAAATTCTCTCTTTCAGTTAAAATAAAAAGCCAGCTAGCAGGGCGAAAGAATCATAACAATACAATAACAAGGAAGGGCCGTAGAGTAGCTCTCTGGCTTCTGCAGGCTTCTGATTTTTTTCCGGTCTCTTTCATCAAATGGCTTCTTCTGGTTCTGGATCATCACAGCAGTGCCCGCCGTTCGACTTCTCGGCCAAGTACTACTCCAGTAATGGAGATGGGTGCGTGAGGCAGGGCAGCTTCTTTGAGGGGAAACCCATTTTGGGACAAGGCGTCGGCTACTCTGTCATTCTTGGCTTCGGTGCTTTCTTTGCCGTCTTCACTTCTTTTCTGGTCCGAACCTTTTTCACAAGTCACTACCCTTTTTTTTTTCTTTTTTGAAGTGGGTTTTTTTGTGTTCTTCGTTGTGGCTTTTCTAAAATTGGCTGATTAATCCAGGTGTGGCTGGAGAAGAGATACGTTGGGTCACGCCACACTTCAGAGTGGTTCAACACTGCTGGCAGGAACGTCAAAACTGGACTCATTGCCAGTGTCATTGTCTCCCAGGTGACTCTGATTCGATTGTGATTTGGGATCATACCCGAGTTTATGCAAATTTGATCACTAATCTCGATTTCTTGCTTTGTTTTTCACTTACTAATTAATAATTTGGTTGGTGACAGTGGACATGGGCAGCCACGATCTTGCAAAGCTCAAATGTAGCATGGGAATATGGAGTCAGTGGACCATTCTGGTACGCCAGTGGGGCTACCATTCAGGTCTCCTCTCTTTTTTTCCACTCTATTTATATATCTCTTACCTTCTTCCACCCAGTTAAATGTTTCAAGGTTAGGTTGGCTGCATTGAAATTGATTAATGATGCAGGTTCTGTTATTTGGGGTGATGGCCATAGAGATCAAGAGAAAGGCTCCACATGCACATACTGTGTGTGAGATCGTAAAAGCTCGGTATGTATTTCGAACAAGGTCATTCATCTCTTATGCCATAACCATAGAGAGCTAAAATCAAATTTATCTCAACAGATGGGGAACCCCTGCACACATTGTGTTCTTATTCTTCTGCTTCCTCACAAACATCATAGTCACGGCCATGCTGCTCCTTGGTGGCTCGGCAGTCGTCAATGCACTCACTGGAGTGAACATCTACGCCGCGAGTTTCCTGATCCCACTTGGTGTCATCGTCTACACACTAGCTGGCGGCCTCAAGGCCACATTCTTGGCTAGCTACATACACTCAGTCATTGGTTAAGTTTCCAATTAATCTCAACCATTCACCATTTCCCAAAGTACATCAGAATATGGTTGTCCTGAATGAATACTTGTTGTTTCTTTGTTCTTTTTGTTCTAGTCCATGTGGCACTTGTCATCTTCGTCTACCTAGTTTACACAGCAAGCAGCCAACTTGGTAGCCCTGGAGTGGTGTACCGCCGCCTCATGGAAGTGACGAGCAAATCCAGAGCCTGCAGTGACCCAATCTCCCACGCTGGCCAAGCATGCGGTCCTGTTAAAGGAAACTACAACGGCTCTTACCTCACCATGCTCAGTCCTGGAGGCCTTGTCTTTGGGATCATCAACATTGTTGGAAACTTTGGCACCGTTTTCGTTGACAATGTGAGGTTTTATATTATGAACTCAACATGGGTTTCTATACTTGATCTCAGGTTTTTGTTGTCCTGAAAAACTATGTCATTTCCTTGTCAGGGGTATTGGGTGAGTGCAATAGCTGCACGGCCATCCTCAACGCATAAAGGGTATTTGTTGGGTGGCTTGGTTTGGTTTGCTGTACCTTTCTCTCTGGCAACATCACTTGGTCTGGGAGCACTCGCCCTTGATCTCCCCATATCTCAGGCTGAGGCAAGCCGTGGACTCGTTCCTCCTGCCACAGCTACTGCTCTTATGGGGAAATCAGGATCAGTCCTCCTTCTCACCATGCTTTTCATGTAAGCCTTTCTCTGTTTGTTCATCATTTGCTTAAGCTATAGAGGGCAAAAGGAAGTTTGATGGCTTAGCTAGCTTCATTGATTGTCAACAGGGCTGTGACTTCAGCTGGATCGTCCGAGCTAATTGCAGTTTCCTCACTATGCACATACGACATCTACAGAACCTACATTAACCCAAATGCATCAGGTAAAAAGATCCTCAGAGTGTCGAGAGCAGTCGTACTAGGATTCGGATGCTTCATGGGACTGCTGGCTGTGATACTGAACAAGGCTGGAGTGTCACTCGGTTGGATGTATCTAGCCATGGGAGTGCTCATAGGCTCAGCTGTGATTCCCATTGCTTTTATGCTCCTATGGAGGAAAGCTAACGCAATTGGCGCCATATTGGGAACTGTAATCGGATGTGTTCTGGGGATAACTACATGGTTATCAGTTACCAGCATCGAGTATGGGAGGATCGATCTTGACACGACTGGCAGGAATGCACCAATGCTGGCTGGTAATCTGGTTTCTATACTCACTGGAGGAGCTGTACATGCTGTGTGCAGTCTGGTGTGGCCTCAGAACTACGAGTGGGATACCACGAGGAAGATTACCACCGTTGAGAAGGACCGGAGTGAGCTGCCTGCAGAAGAGTTTAAGGAGGAGAAGTTGAAGAGAGCTAAAGCGTGGATTGTGAGATGGGGAGTTGCTTTCACTCTTGTCATTGTTGTGCTGTGGCCACTTCTCAGCCTTCCTGCCAGTAAGTTCTTTTTTCTTTCCTTTAGTCCAGCTAAGATTCTGCATTCATTGAAATTGAACTGATAAGAGAGTGATTTTGTGATGGTTGCAGAGGAGTTTAACTTGGGGTACTTCACATTCTGGGCAGTAATTGCCATAGCCTGGGGAACCATTGGATCAGCAGTGATTATAGCTCTGCCGTTGATCGAGAGCTGGGGTACCATCAGGAATGTCTGCCTTGGGATGTTTACAAATGACAGGCTGATGGAGAAGCTCGAAGAGATCGACACAAAGCTGCAGACTATCATACTGACTATCCCTGAAGCTGAGAAAATGTACATGCTTGAGAAGGATAAAGCTACTGCGAAGAGGCGAGAGACCGAGCATGAAGCGTAGTTTCTCGTTTGGAGTAATCTGAATGGATCACCACCGCGTGTAAATGAGCAAGTAATTCTCTGTAGATGGGTTCCTAGCAGTTTAAAGTATTGCCACTCAGTCAGTATCATGATTTGAGAGAGCAAGTGTGATACTGTTGCTGTTTATCATTGATCCTGAAACCCAGACCAAGGACATTTCCTATTTACAGTCCACTGTACATTCTGGTTGTTACATTATAGCTGGCAATGGCCAAAAAATGGACGAGAATGTAATTGAAATGATAAATACAATAACATCTCGTTTGGAAGTTTAGATTTGTGTATGTTCAGAAAATGCATGCATTGTAAATTGTCTGCTTCTAATTGGATAATCTTTTGAACACATTGTTTCACAGCAGTGATCCTCAGGGCCTATTTATAGCATCTTCCTCAGGTAGACACCCTAAGTAAGCGCAACACTGCAGAACAGAGGTAGATCCTTGACATTCAAGAAGCCAACTCTGATTATTGCAAATTGAAGCATATGATACAAGATTATCGTAAAACAAGAATCCTAACAGAAACTAAAGCTGTATCCTATTTATACATATATCTCATATACATGTAACAAACTGAGAAGACACAACAAATGCAAGAAAAGGTTTTACAAATTCAAAGAAAATAAAGAACAATCAAAAGAGGACACGAGGTAAGAACAAATTACAAATGGCCACACTATCAGTGCTCAGAAGAAAAAAAGGAAGACAGAAGTAAAACCTGATCTTCACAACACAGGCCATGCCTAATGGAGCCTCCGCCCCAACCTCTGAAAATTCACCTTGACACCTCACCAAATAATCAATTGCTCGCAAGGAATTTTGAAACACAATACAGGTGGACTGCAGTTATCTCCCCCAATCATATGATACTTTGATCTGCAGAAAGAATGAACGAATAGAATGTAGCACTGCAAAACCCGGGTTGCAGATTCTTAATTCCTTTTTCACCATTTAGTACTACTGTGGCCTCAAATTTTGGAAGACAGAAATGATAACGTATTGGCAAGGGCAAAACCCTGTCTCCAACTCATCTGTGCTTTTACTCGGAATTGGAATCGTAGAATTCACTTGGGCACGGGGTCATGACCTCTGATTCCAGCAACTGAACCACCCTGTGCATCGTGGGGCGATCTTCTGGGCTCGAAGATACACATCGGATGGCAACGGAAAGCAGGGCAGCAAGACTTTCAGCTTGCAGACCCTCACAGTGTGTATCCACTATCTCCTGTTGCCTACTCTCAGATGCCAGATAATTTAACTGCACACCAACAGATGAAATAGATTAACAAGACTCCTGACAGACATTCAGCAACCACACACTACAATAACTAAACAACTTCCAAGAAAACGCTCCAGTTACTGTGGACAGTTGAACTCAATATACCAAGTCCAAAAATATCAATACATTATAACATATCGAGAGTCCTAATCAGAATTCATTTTCAAATGATCCGTGTCTGAACTAAAAACAGAGACCTACAGATGAAAAACAAGCAATCAAAATAAGAACAGAAACAATACCAGAGGGCATTCATTGATCAAGAGTGCCAGAAAATTGGACAGTGAGCCTCTGAGAACATTCAGGTCACCCATCAGCTAGCACTTTATATCTCAAAACATGTTGAAATTCCGGCAACTTCAAATTTTAATCAGTAACAAGACACATCTTCACAACTATTTGTCAACCAATCACACGGGGAATATGAAGTGAAGGGACTTACCCAACCAACAATATTGAGACCCTTCTCGATGAATGATGCGTCAGTTGGTCGCTTTCCACTTAATACTTCAAGAACCAGGACTCCAAAGCTATAAACATCCGTTTTTTCGGTCGCTCTACCACTTTGCATGTACTCTGCCAATTGATTCAACACAATAGCAAAGTCCATGTCAGTGATTGCCAATATAACAATAGCGTTCACTTTTAAACAGCTTAAACATCAAAACACAATTAAGCTATATGTACTGAATCGCTGATGGACTGAAGAAATTAACCTCAAGTAGCTAATTTCGTACAAACTTCTCGCATGAGCCATTTCAATCATCGCCCAATTTTAGGATTGCTTGTATAGAACATGTGCCATACTTCACCATTAACTAGTTGTAGCCTTGTAGGCAGTTAAGCCTAAACAAACATGAACCAAATTACCATGAAGTTCCATTGCATACACAGACCACTTACCAGGAGCTAAGTAACCAAAAGTTCCAGCAACAATGGTTGTAATGTGCGATTCTTCATCTTCTAACAGTTTAGCAAGACCAAAGTCAGACACTCGAGACTCTAAATTGCCATCGAGTAAGATATTGCTTGACTTTATATCTCGATGTATGATCCTAGGGGAACAATCATGATGCAAGTACGCAAGTCCTTTTGCAGCTCCTACAATGATATTCAGGCGTGCATCCCAATCCAATTGTTCAGATCTTTCTGCACAAGGCATCACGTTTTCATGCAACACTGAGCTTAAACAAAGGGCGTAGCTACAAGATAAACATTTAAAATATCAATAATGAGAGAAATAAGTCCAATGCAAGATTGCTCACTCATACCGTACACCTTTACCCCTCTAACCAACAGGGCATGACTCCTACTCTACCCAACAAGACCAATATTGAAAGGAGCATTCACCATCGAGGACCAATTATTCTAAGGCACAACTTTTAATCAGAATCTCTGTGACCTTTACACAAATCCAACACACTTGAGTCTCACTTGGAATTATGACTGGACAATTGATTTGGCACAGTGCAAAATTATTATGTTTTTATATACCCGCTTCACGTCAGCCAAATTATTCACAGATATGTGAGCAAATCCACATTCACGCAAGTATACTCATGGTTTGGTTCACATTATGGTGGAAATGCACAATAACAAACGATATAAAGAAACTGAGAGAGCATATCGATATGGTAGAAGGAAGTGGACACAAATATGTCCCCTCTTTTTGCTGTGTCTAAACAAATAATGAATACTAGAGAAAGCCAGGCGTTGTACCATCGTACCAGATAATACATCAGAGTAACAGTCTGAAGCTTACCATGGAGTACTTCATCAAGACTGCCGCCAGGTAGATAGTCATATATCAACAATTTTGATGTTGGAGAATTACAGTATCCTCGCAAATTCACTAGGTGTCTATGTTTTATACTACCAAGAATTTCAAGCTCCCTCTCAAAGAAGCGATCAAAGCCTTCATTCATCTTAACAATTCTCTTTAAAGCAAACACATTGCCATCATCCATTGCCAGCTTATATACTGTCCCAAAGCCCCCACAACCTATCACATGCTCCTCCGTCAAGATCTCCAACTTCTTAATAATGTCCTTCGAAGAGTATGGCAAGTCCCCATGAAACATTACAATTGATGCACCTAAGGAAGCAAAAATAAGATAATGTCAAACTCCAGAAAGTTGCAACTAAGCCATTATAAATAAATGAAAAGTTGCCAGTAACTGAACAAAGACCCCAGATGTGTATGTGAGAATAGTTCATCGCACCTCCGCTAACATCCATTGCAATACTGCTACTTTCATTTCTACCGAACTTTTTGTAGAGAAAACAACCCCAGAAGCACATGAGTGCAACAAGGAGCAGAGCACCGATGGTCGCGAATGCACTGACAAGCAACCGTGCCAGATATTTCTTCTTGCTTCCTTGACCTAGAGCTGTAGACAATCAGATGTTATCTCCTCATTATATAAGAGACAAATATGCCAGAGATTGGGACTTAAGGAAGATGGAAGAAGAGGTCTAAAAACAGACAAATTGCACTTGCTAATAACTTAGTTCTCAAAAGCCAGGTTCTGGACATTTAGGCAACAAGTGTTAAGTGTGATGAACAGGGCTGGATTGGAAAAGAGTCATAAACATTTGTACAAGAAAACTACTGGCTATACCTGACAGAGGCCCAGATGAATTATTGGATGATCCACTATCATTTTTACAAGCTTCATTGATCTGCTCCCCACACAGACCTTTATTTGCAGCAAACCTAGAAGGCACATGGTCGGACTGTAAGGGGTCGTTTGCTTCTAGGATTTTAGAAAATGAGGGATTATGATAAAACCTTGGATTTTGAATATGAGAGATTATGTTGGATTTTGATTATGTTGGATTTTGAAACTTCCATGTTTGTTTGTAGGATTTGGTAATGGCTTTTAGTAGGTTGGAATTATGGCTTGATGGGGGAAATTACTTTCTTATCCTTAATGAACCACTTTTTACTTTACTTGTATTTTGAATGTTTTTGTATATACATGAAGAATTAGCATATGTAAAAATGGCAGCAACATCCATACTATTTGGTCATATTGTATACACGCAAGAAGCCATTAAAGTAAATTGAAACTCTCAACCCAAACCAATAATGTCGAAAGGAAAATCAAGGGTTTGGATTGGATTATAAAAAAAGAGGATGTAAGCATGAAATAATTAATTGTTGAGCTTCATATAAAAGGAAGACAAAACGACGATAGGCAGAGATGGAAAAGGTTGCCGGAGCTTTTTGCTGTGTTGCAATCCCTTGGCAACGAAGAGACAAAGTTGGTGAGATGAGAGTGTAGACAAAAGTTCTCAGTAGAGATAATAATAACCGAGAGCAAAATTGGATTACACAAAATGAGTGGGGGTAACACGGTCATTAAACATCATGGATTATATCTATCTTCCAAAATCCTAGCTATAGAGGTAAGATTTTATAATCCATGGGGCCCACGGATTTTAGCTCCAAATAATCCAATATTAGTGGACCCCACAGATTAAAACAAAATCCATTATATGCTAACAAACATGGATTCATTATAAAGTCCAACATATGTTGGATTTTAGGCCAAAATCCAACACCAAAATACCAAAAGCAAACGACCTCTAAGTATATGATACAAATCCATGTAAAGTATGACTCTCAACACTGTTGCTTCTAAGAAAGCATGAATCCTCTGCATCAGAAGGAAATTTGCCAAAAGCATCAAACACTTATTTATCTAAAATACAACACTGGAAAATAATATCGACTTACGAGCTGTCAGGAAACTTGGTAAGTGGACCCTCAAATGGTATTGGCCCCATGAGAAAGTTATTCGAGACATTGCTTCAAAAGATTAACCAAGAAATCACACATCAGATGACAATTTCCACTGGAAGACTTGCACTAAGTAGACAACTTAGTTTTAAAAAACATCAACTCACAAATTAACGAGTTTGCTGAGTTTCCCAAGTGACTGGGGAATAGATCCACTGAGTGAATTGCTGGAGATATC